CTTTAAAAAAAAAAAAAAGAAAGTGGAAAGGAACCAACATTTGTGGGCTGCCCTAACTTGAGTCCAGTGGTAGTAAATGTTTAAAACCAGCTCTCTGGAGGTTAAAAAAAAAAAATCCCTGATGGGCAGTGTCTGCCAATTTCCATGGCAGTAAATACTCCCAATAGGGCAAATTTCAAATGATGCCACCTGCACAGAGTTGTGAAGAGATGTGTGCAATCAGCTCTTACAAGGTGGTAAGCTCTATCTCCAACACATCCGCATAATCAAGTCACATAACACACATTATCTCATTAGTGCCAGCAATACCCCTATAAATTAGGTGTTACTGTATCACTTTCATAGATGAGGAAACTAAATAAAGCTTAGAGAGGATAAGTAATATTCCAAGGTCAACAAGCTAATAAATTGTGAAGTTGGGGTCTGAACTGAAACCTGCCTAACTCCAAAGTTCTTTGAGAATTAGTATCAGTTTATTCGACCAACATGTCTTAAATTACTTTCAGGCATATGGGAAGCACTGGGCCTGGGGGAACACAGAAAAGAGAATAAATAAAAACTTGAAGAGACAGCCTCCACCTCAAGGAACTCATGATCTAGTGGAAGAAATGGAAATAATTAATTTTTTGTTTAAAATCTTTTTCTTCACACATTTAAGGCATCCATAAAGGTTCACAGGGAGAAAAGGAAAGAAAGAAAGGAAAGAAAGAAAGAAAGAAGAAAGAAAGAAAGAAAGAAAGGAAGAAAGAAAGAAAGAAAGAAAGGAAGGAAGAAAGAAAGAAAAAAAGATGAAGGAAATGACCCTTCAGGGAACTTTTTCTGTAATTTTACTGATTCGGGTCAGTAAGCAACTCCTGAGTGGCATTTTATCTATAGAGGAAGCAGCACTTCTAGGTGACTGGAGAGGACAAGAGGAGCAATTAAGCTCTTGATATCTGAGGTCTTTCACAGATGGAAGTCACTCTACTGTGTGGCGTGAAAGCAGAAGCAGGATATGACCATTTCTATGCAGTTACTATGGCTCTTGGGAACTGACCACCTTACTAAGGCCAGTAAAAGACTTTAATTGCCCATCTCACTAGACTAAACCAGCAAATGATTACTGCAGGTCTGTCAGTGCTAGGTACTCTGACTCCTGCCATTATTCCACTCTTCCAGATCCAGGTACACCTGATTTCTCCCTCTCTTTTCCTGCCTCCTAGCTGCTGGTAATGGCTGCCATTCCTACAGTCTCCTCAGTCTGGTACCCACTGAGTGAAAGACAGCTGGGCTGGAAAGACCTCAGGAGCATCTTTACCAGCAATCTCATTTTAGAGATGGGTTGCTAAGGTCAGAACAGGAATCAGCACAGAGCTGCCAGTGATTTCCAGGGGATGGCCAGTGACTAAATGTAAGGTCAAAAGGTGGGGCTCGAAAAGAATAAGAGAGTAATTACATGGAGAAGAAATGCAAAGGGAAGGGACATTGGACTTGGAATTAAGGGGATGTTAAGAAAGACCAGGAAAGAGCTAGAAGTGGCAGAAGGATAATATGACAAGACGCACAAAGGGGCCACCACAAGGAGGAAGCAGTTGGGAGGAGGCAACTGGATTCAAGATCAATGAAAACCAAAAATACATAAAATTCACTTCGAGGACAGCATTTTTTGTATCTGTTTCTGCCTTACCAATGTAGAAGGTCATGTACACCATTGAAATGCAAAGAATGACACTAGTAAGTGTATTGCTAAAGAGGTCAGTCAATATAAACTGAATGATTCTTGCACACGAATATCCACATATTATGCTTCCCAGGATGTCCAAGGAGAGGCCCAAGATTACATGTAACTCTAGAAAAAAGAAAATAAGAAAAAAAAAAGAAGTTGAACTATAATTTTCATTTCTTTCATTGATGGCATTTGGGTCTATGCACTTCGGTTTGCTTTTGAGATTTTGAATGGGACCTTGTTCTTCAGCAAGTGGGGGTTCCCCATGAAAGCCTGGCAAAACAGAGACTCTGGGGATATTTTTTCCCTTAAAGTCTACAGTTTGAGATTCACTTATCCAGGGACAGCAGACTCCAACATCCTCAAAAGCCAGGCAGAGAGCATAAATGTGGAAAGTCTGTGACAAACGGGAGAGTGAATGTCTGACCAAAAGACATCCAAATTCGTATTTTTTACAAACTACGTTTGGGCCAAGCAAATCATGTCCAGGGTCGCCACCAACCTGCAGTCCATTTGTGACCCCTGCCCCCAGCCCAGGGGCATTTGGGAAATGGAGAAGAGAAATTTTCCGTAGTCCCAATAACTGGGGGCAACACTGGCAGTAATGAGCATGTGTCAGGCAATACCAAGGGCAGTCCTAAATAACAGACTGTCCCACCCCAAATGCCTCTAGCTCCCCACTGAGAAGCACTGCAATCCCCTTTTATCACCAACATTCTTTCTCCTTTCAGCACCTCTCTCCTCCTAAAACTATCACATAAACAGATCAGGAGGACACCTTTTCCCTGTTTATGCTGTGATTTCCCCGCCTCCTTTCTTTTCTACTAGAACCACTTCTGGAAACCTAGCAAAGCAACACGCTCCATACCCCCAGTGAACTTTAACCACACTAATCTATTATCACTCCCAGGGCCTGACTCTCCAGTACTCCTGGAAACATTCTGCCTTCACCCGCAGGCTTAAATTCAGGATCAAGTCAATTCTTAATATCCACTCACTGAGATCCAGATTGATCCAGGAAGGAAGTTACTCTTGTGTGCCTGTGTGTGTATGGGTGTGAAGGAAAGAGATGAAACCATTTCTTTAACATTCTTTCCCCCTTCCTGTCCAAGAAAACACACAGATGGTAATTATTTTCTTGTTAACTGATATTCTACTTTAATTGGTCCAAAAGTATAGAGAAAGCAGTAAAGTTAAGACATCTTGAATGTATTTTATTTTATTTTTACTTTTTTAAAGATTTTTTTATTTATTTAAGTAATCTGTACACCCAACATGGGGCTCAAACCCACGACCCTGAGATCAAGAGTCACATGCCCCTCTGACTGAAACTGCCAGGCGCCCTTTAATATATTTTAATTTCAGTGTGAATTGAAATGCATCATATAATAATGATTTTAGAAAATAAGACAAAAAAGATGCTCCTACCCGTAAACATGGAACTCTGGAGAAAGTTGCTCCGAAAAATTCCAAAACAAATGGATGTGAAGCCACAAATGATCATTGATTCTCCTCTTATGATATCAGTATACATTTTGGAAATGCCTGGAAAAGGAAATAAAAAATGTAATTTAATTTGGTACATGAAAATGATGCTCTTGCACAGGAAACACAAAAATAGAAGAGAACGAATATGTCAAACAAAAAAGAAAAAAGCCATGACTGGGGTGGGTCTGCGAGGCAACCCCAATCACCATTTTTTAATCTCTCCAATGACAAAGGAACAGGACAAGAACATTCTTTGAAGTATTCATGGCCTCAAATCACACTTGAGTTTTGGAATGAGACAGAACACTTCTCAGGACACAATATTTAGCTTGAATAAATATGAATAGACTCCACAAAAATCACATTTTAGAAATAAGTACAGGGTCGCCTAGATGGCTCAGTTGGTTGAGCGTCCAATCTTGATTTCAGCTCAGGTCGTGATCTCAGGGTTGTGAGATCAAGCGCTGCATCAGGCTCCATGCTGGGTGTGGAGCTTACTTAAGATTCTCTCTCTCCCTCTCCCTCTGCCCTTTCTCCCCTCCCCTGGCACACGCACGTGCTTGCACACACACTCTTTCTCTCTCAAAAAATAAAAGGAAAAAAGAAAGAAGTACAAAGGATGACCCAGCAATTCTACTTATAGACATATGCCCAAGAGAATTGAAAACCTATGTCCACACAAAAATTTGTCCATGAATGTTCATAGCGGTATTATTCATAATAATGAATTGAATTACTCAGCCACAGAAAAGAATGAAGTACTGACTGTTACATGTTACAACATGGATGAACTTTGAAAACATTATACAGAGTGGAAGAAGCCAAACACAGAAAACATATTGTATGGTTTGATTTGTATGAAATGTCCAGAATGGGCAAATCCATAGACAGAAAATAGACTTGTGGTTGCCAGGGATTTGGGGGAATGGGGGTGTAAGAAATGACTGCTGGTAGGAGATTTCTTTGGGGGTAATTAAAAATGTTCTAAAATTAGATGGTGATGATGGTTGTATAACTCTGCAAATATAGACCCCTGAAATCTACAGTTTAAATTTTTTTAAATTTTTTCTTTTTAAGTAGGCTCCACACTCAATAATGGGGCTTGAACTCATGACCCCGAGATCAAGAGTCACATGCTCTACTGACTGAGCTATCCAGGGGCCACTGTACAGTTTAAAAGGATGAATTTTATGGTATGTGGATTATATTTCAATAAAGCTGTTATTAAAAATTAAATACAAAATCTTATTGGCACTTAACATTCACAAACAGGTAAGTGTAATGGAAAATATAATCAAATTAATTGCTTTGTGATATACAACTTATGAATAGGGTGATAGTGACTGGTACTTGCTCAACCAGTATCCATCCTCTGTTCTTGGTAACAATACTGGTTTTATCCAGGGTGGCAACGTGTCCAGTTAAATGACCACTTTTCCTCATAGCCTGGGCTTCTAAGAGTGTCCACTGAGATAAAAATAAGTGGAAGTTACCAAGTGGGATTTGGGGAAAATTTCTTGGAGGGAGAGGTGACTTGGTTGAAAGGAGCATCTCTTTGTCACTTGCCCTTCTTCCTCTTCTTACCTGAAATGTGGACGTGATGGCCAGAACTTTAGTAGCCAACTTGTGATCCTGAGAGTGGAAACCATACGCAAAGAATGGAGGAGCAGATAAACAAACCCCACAGGGCTTTAAATGTCATCTTTTAAAGTGATTTTAAAATAAGAAAAAAGTCATATTTCCCCATATGTTTACCAATTACAGTGCTTCCCATTGCTTTGTGTAGATCCAAATTTCCATTTGATACGTTTCTCTCTGCCTGACTTCCTTTAACATTTTTTTTTTATAGTGCAGGTCCGCTGGTGATAAGTTCTTTCAACTTCAATATGTTTAAGAAAGTTTTATTTAACCTTTGCTTTTGAAAGATAGTTTCACTGAGAATTTTAAGCTTTTCTTTTAGTACTTTAACAATGTCGCTCCACCATCTTTTGGCTTACATTGTTTCTGAAAAGAAGTCATTAGTTTTGTTCCTCTGCATATAATGTGTCTCTTTTTCTCCCTCTGGCTGCCTTTAAGATATTCCCCTTATCATTGCTTTTTAGGAACTTGATTTTTATGTGCCATGATGCAGTTTTCCGCTTCTTGGGCTCATGGTATGTTGAGCTTCTTGAAATCTGTGGTTGTAAAATCTTCATCAAATTTAGAAATTTTTCATTCATCATTTCTTCAAATATTTTTTTCTTTCTTCCTCTCTGTCTCCTCTCTTTTGGGGACTTGTATATTAAGCCACTTGAAGTTGTCCCACAGTGGCTCACTGATGTTCTGTTCACTTATCTTAGTCTTTCTCTCCATGTGCTTCATTTTGGATAGTTTCTATTGCTGCATCTTTAAGTTCCCTAATACTTTCTTTTGCAGTATCTAATCTACTTCCATCAGTGGAATTTTTGCCTTAGCTATTGTTTTTCATCTCTAGAAATTTGATTTAGGTCTCTTTTATATCTACCATATATGTCCAGTGATATGCTGATAAATCACTTCTACAAAATTAAAACAAAAACAAAACAATCTCATTTGTAGCATTTGCAAATTCCACACATAAACACTCCCACCATAGCCAATTTGAAGCTACTAATGGTTTAACAACTGGCTTGCAAAATTCCTGATTATTTAACAATGTGCTCTCATAAGCTGATAGGAGTAAGTTCTAACCCAACCTTAATCTTTCCTCTAATTTTTTGAACATACAGAGTTACAATAACTGCTTTAATATTTTTGTCTGATAATTCTACCATCTGCCTCATAACTCAATCTACTTATTATTTTTGTACACTTTATGGGTCATATTTTCCTGCTTCTTGGATATCACCAAGAAGATATGACGGGCAGTTGGCCCGTGACTTGGACCCATGTGATTAGAGGCCCTTCAGCCACTCTCCTGTGCTTGGAATGTGAGTTTCACTTGCCTTTCCTGCTCCCAGAGGCTGCTCCAAGGACATAGCCTTAAGATAGTGATGTGGTGTTCAGAACACCTACACAGTGTATGTGACTGGACCCAGGTAATGCCTCTACATAAACTTTCCAGATTTGGTGAGCAGGTACAGGGATGCTTTCATCTTGCTGCTGCCCAAGATAAGCCTTGTATGTAAGTCTTTTGCTTATAAAAGCTGCCACCTACCAACCTGCAGTGACCTGCCTCTTGCTTTAGTTTCTCCCTGCCCTCCATGTATGGGGGTCAGTTTCAAATCACACCCAGGAAACTCCCAGGAGGGTTGCTAACCAATCTTCAGCTTACTACCTGTTGCTAGCTTTGACCATGACAGAAGGCACAAAACTACTGGTTAAACAGGTGTAGAAACTATTAGCACATTTGATTTAGTTGGTCAAGAAATCCTTTCATCCTTTCCTCAAATTCAGTGAGTCAACCAGGAACAGGTAAAATACGAGGTCTGAAGTATGAAGCTTTTTTTTTTTTTTAAAGATTTTGTTTATTTTAGAGAGAGAAAGAGCGAGAGAGAGCATGAGCAGAAGAGGGAGAGGAAGAGGAAGAAGGAGGCTCCCTGCTCAGCCCTGATGCAGGGCTGGATCCCAGGACCCTGGGATCATGACCTGAGCCGAAGGCAGATGCTTAACTGACAGAGCCACCCAGGTGCCCCAGTATGAAGCTTTGACTTTGACTTATAGTTGTGTTTAATGGCAAAATACCACAAGAATTACTTCCCTATTCTTTATTGGCTTAATGTAGAACTAACTTATATTCTCTAATTCATTGTAAAATTTGGAAAAAGAAAGAATAAAACAAAAACCATGTACAATTTCACGACTCAGATACAACCTTAATGTTGAGGTCTTTTTCTAAGCTTATAAACTTTTTCCTCAATTGAGATCATACTAAAACTTTGTATTTTATTCCTTTATAAGGACCCTATTCCAGATTTGTTTTAAAGTAAAAATTGTTTGAGCCCAGTGCATTCTTTTCAAACAGGTAATAAATAGACAATTTCCTTTTCACTTGTGTGTGAACACCCACCACTTTTTTCAGTGGGTCAGGCCATTGAGACTGCAGGGTTTACAGTGCACAAGGGCACCACATCAAAAGAAGCACTATTCACATTATAGAAACTGTAGTTTTGTATATTATGATAATTTTAGGCATGTGGCAAAAAAATATCTTTCCTTTAAAAATTAATGTATTATGACAGTTAGAAATAAACTGTTTTGAAGAAAGGACCATTTATCTTATTCACACATACAGCCAAAATGGTGACTCTGTGAATACCATAAATAAGAGTGATATCCCTGCTAAAAATGAGTAAAATTTATTAAGAAAAAATGTTATTGGATCCAGAATCCACATACCACCTTGAGCATTATTGACATAAAGAAAATATCAACTAAGAGCTAAATAGCTTCACTAGTTTTCTTTTAAAGAAATAGAAAACTTTTTATTATATTTCCTTTTTGAAAAAAAATTTAATATAGCAACTGCAATAAATAATGTTTATAGCCACTTACAGTCAAGAGATTTCAGGAAAAGGAGCAGGAAAAAAATGAGGTGCATAAAACAACTGGCAAATACAAATGGCTAAATGAGAAAGGCAGATGAAGGAAAATTAGGAAAAATAACTTGTACTTAAAAAAGAGAGAGAGAAATAAAAGAGGACAGGATCAGACTCTTTGAGAAAGATGACAATTTAGGATATCACTACCAAAAGTGTCTTAAAACTTACATTTTCCCAAATGCAAGTATAAATGGGTCTAAAGGGGTGCCTGGGTGGCTCAGTTGTTAAGCATCTGCCTTCGGATCAGGTCATGGTCCCAGGGTCCTGGGATCAAGCCCTGGCATCGGGTTCCCTGCTCATCCGGAAGCCTGCTTCTCCCTCTCCCACTCCCCCTGCTTATGTTCCCTCTCTCTCTGTGTCTCTCTCTGTCAAATAAATAAATAAAATCTTAAATAAATAAATAAATGGGTGTAAAATTGGAAATCCCACTTGCAGGCAAGGTTGGAGGTTTCCCATTCCAATCATAAGGCAATATATTCCACTAAATATAAATACGTTAAAATTGGTTAGAAAAATATTTCCGAGTCAAAAACAGAAACCATAGCATCTAATCATTTCATGTTTTTACTGCTGTGTTAATAAAACATGACAACAGGGGGATATTTCAGAGTGAAATCATCTTTTACCAAATAAGACGGGAAGTACTGCAAGACCCGAAACCCTCTTGGGAATAAGCTATTATTGAACATGTTTGCCCAACTATGTTCTGACCCATTTCTTTTAAATAAACTACACCCCCTTCCACTACCTGCTTAAGGTTAGCTAGACCAAAAGGGAGGCAGTTCTTCTTCTTCTTCTTCCCCCTCCCCCTTCCCTTCCCCCTCCCTGTCCCCTTCCTTCCCTTCTCCTTCTTCTTCTTCTTCTTCTTTCTTCCTCCTCCTCCTCCTCCTCCTCCTCTTCTTCTTCTTCTTCTTCTAGTGTATATATTTTAAAAATTTTTGTGTGTTTTTTTTTATCTTTTTTTAATTTAAATTTTACTTATTAACATGCAGTGCAATATTGGTTTCAGGAGTAGAATTCAGTGATTCATCACTTACCTACAGCACTCAGTGCTCATCACAAGTACCCTCCTTAATACCCTTCACCCATCTAGCCCATTCCCCCCACCCAACTCCCTCCAGCACCCCTCAGTTTGTTCTATATTGTTAAGTGTCTCTTATGGTTTATTTCCCTCTATCCTTCCCCCCCCAATTCCCATATATTCATGTTTTCTTTCTTAAATTCCACATATGAGTGAGATCATACTATATTTGTCTTTCTCTGACTGACTTATTTCACTTAGCATAATACACTCTAGCTCCATCACGTTGTTGCAAATGGCAAGATTTCATTCTTTTTGATGGCTGAGTAATATTCCATTGTGTATATATACTACATTTTCTTTATCCATTCATCAGTCAGTGGACATTTGGGCTCTCTCCATAGTTTGGCTATTGTTGATAGTGCTGCTATAAACATCAGGGTGTGTGTACCCTTTCAAACCAGCATTTTTATATCCTTTGGATAAATACCTAGTAGTACAATTGCTGCGTCTAGGGTATTTCTATTTTCAGCCTTTTGAGGAACCTCCATACTGTTTTCCAGAGTGGCTGCACCAGTTTGCATTCCCACCAACAGTGTAAGAGGGTTCCCCTTTCTCCACATCCTTGTCAACACCTGTTGTTTCTTGTGTTGTTAATTTTAGCCATTCTGACAGGTGTGAAGTGGTATCTCATTGTGGCTTTGATTTGTATTTCCCTGATGATGACTGATATGGAGCATCTTTTCATGTGCCTATTAGCCATCTGGATGTCTTCTTCGGAAAAATGTCTGCTCATGTCTTCTATTTCTTGACTGGATTTTTTGTCTTTTGGGTGTTGAGTTCTTTATAGACTTTGGATACTAACCCTTACCAGATAGATCATTTGCAAATATCTTCCCCCATTCCATAGGTTGCCTTTTAGTTTTGTTGATTGTTTCCTTCACTGTGCAGAAACTTTTTATCTTGATGAAGTCCCAATGTTCATTTTTGCTTTTGTTTTCCTTGCCTCTGGTGATGTGTCTAGTTAGAAGTTGTTTCAGCCAAAGTCAAAGAGGTTTCTGCCTGTGTTCTCCTCTAGGATCTTGATGGTTTCCTGTCTTTTAGGTCTTTTCATCCATTTTGAAGTTATTTTTGTGTAGGGTATAAGAGAGTGGTCCAATTTCATTCTTTTGCATATAGCTGTCCAGTTTTCCCAACACCATTTGTTGAAGAGACTGTCTTTTATCCATTGTATATCCTTTCCTACTTTGTTGAGGATTAGTTCACCATATAGTTGTGGGTCCATTTCTGGGTTCTCTATTCTGTTCCATTGATCTATGTGTCTGTTTTTGTGCCAGTACCATACTGTCTTGATGACTACAGCTTTGTGATAGAGCTTGAAATCTGGAATTGTAATGCCTCCAGTTTTGTATGTCTTTTTCAGGATGCTATTCTGGGTCTCTCGTGGTTCCATACAAATTTTAGACTGTTTGCTCTAACTCTGCAAAAAATGCTGGTGTTATTTTGATCGGATTGCATTAAATGTGTAGATTGTCTTGGGAAGTATAGACATTTTAACAATATTTCTTCTTCCAGTCCATGAGCATGGAATGTTTTTCCATTTCTTTATGTCCTCTTCAATTACTTTCATAAGTGTTCTATAGTTTTCAGAGTACAGATCTTTTACCTCTTTGTTTAGGTTTATTCCTAGGTATCTTATTGTTTTGGTACAATCGCAAATGGGATCAATGCCTTGATTTCTTTTTCTGCTGCTTCATTATTGGTGTATAAAAATACAACAGATTTCTGCACATTGATTTTACATCCTGCAACTTTGCTAAATGCATGTATTAGTTCTAGCAATTTTTTGGTGGAGTATTTTGGGTTTTCTACATAGAGTATTACATCATCTGGAAAGAGTGAACTTTTGATTTCTTCCTTGCCCATTCAGATGCCTTTTATTTCTTTTTGTTGTCTGATTGCTAAGGCTAAGACTTCCAGTACTATGTTAAATAGTAATAGTGGAGTGCACATCAAAAGGGAGGCAGTTCTAACAAGAGGTAGCAAGGCCTTGGAAAAGTTTCACTGGGGTAGGGCAGAGTTTCTACCTTGAGGCTTAGAATTCAGTGGAATGGAAAAAGAATGCTAATTTTTATCACCTTCTAGAATGGTTACTTTTATTCTTGAAAAAATTATTTGAGATTATAATTGGTGCTATTTATCCCAGGTCTTGGGTTGCCTTATTTGCATTGCATCTTTCAAGTCCATCAATGCCCCATCTCCAAGAAAAATAGCATAAATATCTACTCTGCTGGATGCACAAATCATGCAAAAAAAAAAAAAAACTCACCAAGATCAAAAGAAAATAATTTATCTCTATATATTCAACGTGAGAGAGAGAAATAAATCTGACATACCAATAGTTTTCAGTGAATTCACAGAATGAACAGGATCTGTCATGCCAAGGGTCATGCTAAAGAGTAGGGAAGACTGCAAATCCCACAAATCTCTATTGAATTTCAGAACCACATATCCAATTATGATGAATGCCACAACAAAGCTAATTAATGCTGTTAACAAGACCTGTGAAACCAATTCATAACACAGTATTAATTTAACATTTAAGGATGGCATGATTGCATTTACTTACGGAAGAATCAGATCTTAGTTATATACTTTATACGATTACTCTGAAAAAATAATTTCAAAAGGTATTCTAGGTTACCTGCCTCAAAGAAACCATTCCTCCCAAACAAAAGAGATTCTATCTCATTGTTACAAGAACAATTCACTAATATTTCTTATTGCTAGTCCAGCTTAATAGGTCCCAACATCAAAATGTTCTTAAAATGGAATGTAAATTCTTCCTGCTTCTTTGTGAAACATTGCCTGGTTTCTTCAGTGTTGATCTGCAGGGCGCAGGCAGAAAGAGAAGTAAAACAAAGGGCAAAGAGGACATGCTGGCTGATTTGGCCCTCTTATTAAGGGCTTTCTAGAAGCCTTATTCAACAGACGTCTGTATACATTTCATTAGCCACACTCTCTTCTGAGGCTACACAGCTACCACTTGCTGGGAAATAGAATAATTCACACTGGGCCCACTACCATACCAAGCGAAATCTAGTAAGTTTATGTTAATGAGAAAGAAAGAGAGAATGCATATCAGATAGGCAATCAGCAGTGTCTGCCTCAAAAATAGAAATAGAATATAAAACTTTTAAACAAGAAGAAGGAATTAAAGGACAAAGACAACTGAAAAATTGACTTGATTGAGAAGGGAAGAAAGAATAAGAAGCAAAGGAAACGCATGGTAAGGGCAAAGTGTAAAATTATATTGAGAAACAAATCCAAATCTATTTCTTTTGATTTTTTATTTTTTTAATTTTTTTAAAGATCTTATTTATTTATTTGACAGAGAGACAGCACAAGCTGGGGGAGCTGCAGAGAGAGAGGGAGAAGCAGGCTCTCCACCAAGCAGGGAACCCAGTGCAGGACTCAATCCCAGGACCCTGGGATCATGACCTGAGCCGAAGGCAGACGCTTAACCAACTTAAGACTGCAGACTGTGCCACCCAGGTGCCCCTATTTCTTTTGATTTTTTAAAACTTATTTTTAATTTATATACAATGAAATTCATTCTTTTGATAAAGAGTTATATGAGTTTTGGCAGATGCATACAGTCATGTAACCATGACCACAATTAAGAAACAAAACAGATCACCTCAAAAAATGTCCTTGGGGTGCCTGGGTGGCACAGTCCATTAAAGTATCTCAGTCTTGGTTTCGGCTTAGGTTGTGACCTCAAGGTCATGAGATGGAGCCCCGCATTGGGCTCCATGCTCAGTGTGGAGTTGGCTTAAGACCCTCTCTTCAGCGGCGCCTGGGTGGCTCAGTCGTTTAAACGGCTGCCTTCGGCTCAGGTCCTGGGATCGAGCCCCGCATAGGGCTCCCTGCTCGGCAGGGAGCCTGCTTCTCCCTCTCCTGCTCCCCTTGCTCGCTCTCTCTTTCTCTCTCTCTGTCAAATAAATAAATAATTTAAAAAATCTTAAAAGAAAAAAAAGACCCTCTCTCCTTCTCCCTCTGCCCCTACCCCCCCCCTTCTTTGTCTCCCTCTGTCTCAAAAAATAAACAAATAAATGTTGACCCTTTGTAGTTAATTCCTTTCCCTCTCCCCAGTCCCTGGCAACAAATGATCTTTCCTCCAAGCCTACTGGTTTGCCTTTGCTAGAAGGAAGGTCTATGAATAGAATTATACATAGGTAGCCTTTTGAGTCTGGTTTCCTTCTCTTGGCATAAGGCACTGAAATTCTTCTATGTTGTGGCCCTTAATGCTCCTTTTTCATTGCTGGGTAATACTGCATTATAAGGTGTGTCACAATTTGTTTATTCATTCATGAGCTGAAGAGCATTTGAATTGTTTCTAGAATTTACAGATTATGAATGAGGCGGCTATAAAAATGATTCACACAGAGGTTTTAGTGTAAAGAAGCTTTCATTTCACTTCAGTAAATACATAGGAGTGGAATTGCTGGGTCATATGGCAGGTGTATGTTTCACTTTATAAGAAACTCCTAAACTGTTTTCCAAAGTGGCTGTACCATTTTGCATTCTCACTGCATTCTCACCAGCACTCAGTATTATCAGGCTTGTTATTGTTGCTGCTATTGCCATTCCAATAGATATGTAGTGGTACATGTCACCATAGTTTCAATTTCTATTTCTCCAATGACTTATGGTGTTGAGCATATTTCTAAACACTATTTTCTTCCACATATCTTCCTTGGTGCCTCAAATCTGTTCAAATCCTTTGCCCTTCTGAGTCTATTTTTTTTTTCTGAGTCTATTTTTAACCACAACAAATATTAAACTAGTTTTTAAAGCAGCAGAGATTCTCAACCTGGATAAAATAATAAAATCTAGCTATATATTATCAAAAAGACATCTAAACATAAGGATCCAAAAATCTTGAAAGTGGAAGGATGGAAAACTTGTAGCAGGCAAATACTAAGCAAAACAAAGCTGGTATGCCTATAGTAATACCAGACGAAATTGACTGAAGGCAAAATGCATTATTTGAGATAAAAGGGTAACTAGATAATGAGAAAAAAATAACTAGGAAAATAACAATACTTGTAGGCACTTAAAAACAGAGTTTCTATCTATGTAAAGTAAAAACTGGCAGAATCACAAAGAAAAATTGATAAATCCATAGTTATAATGGAAGTTTTTTTGTATTAAGTTGAAAAACAATACTGGCAAAGATACGGAAGACCAAACTTCATAATAAACAAAATAAGTTACTGAACGAATTTAGACCCCTGAACTCAAAAATTAGAAAATATATACTCTTATAAAGCAAACACAGAACATTCTGGAGAACTGAAGTACAAGGCCACAAAGCAAATCTCCACAAATCACAAGAGTTGATATACAAAACACATTCTCTGGTCACAATCTGATAAAAGAAATAATAAAACATATTTGGAAATTTTAAAATAACTTCTAAGTAATTAATAGGTTAAAAAGCAAATAATCCAATTAAAAATGGGCAAAGGATCTAATAGACATTTTTCCAAAGAAGACATGCAGATGACCGACAGACACATGAAAAGATGCTCAACATAACAAATCATCAGGGAAATGCAAATCAAAACCACAGTGAGATGTCACCTCACACCAGTCAGAATGATAGTATCAAAAAGGCAAGAAATGACAAGTGTTGAAACGGATATAAAGAAGAAGGATCCTCATGTGCTGTTGGTAAGAATTTAAATTGTTGCAGCTACTGTGGAGAACAATATGGAGTTTCCTCAAAAAACTAAAACTAGAAGTATCATAAGATCCAGTAATCCCACTTCTAGGTATTTATCCAAAGAAAACAAAACACTAATTCAAAAAGATATATGCATCCCTGTTTATTGCAGCATTATTTACAATAGCCAAGATATGAAAGCAACCTAAG